TTCAGGGCAGTATGATGAAGTGTTAATTCTGCAGGAGAGTGTTTGTAACTGGGGCCTCCGCGTTTACTGCAGAGTGGTGAATGAGATGGTAGAAGTGTCATGCCCCGCCCCACACCCCAGTGCTAGGTCAGTGCAGGGAACACTTGACGGGGAGAGAGGGGACCCTCTTGCTATCCCTAAAGTCAGGCCATCCAGGGGCCTGTCTACTGTATCTTGTGCAGGGAAGGAAGGGGAAAGAGGAGAGAGCTATTATGAGAGGCCTGCCATTTTTAGCAGCCCACAGGGGTGTGGGCATCACCTCTGTGCCAAATGCAGAGTAAAGTAAGACGGAGGCACCAGGTTGCAGGAAGCAGAGACGCCTGAAGCTCAGTGAGTAGCCCAGGCTGTCAGTGCTGGGGGCTGGCAGAGCCGGGACGTCAGGGGGAACAGGGGTCATGAGGGGCGGTGGGGAAAGAACAGGCCTCACAACACAACCTCCCTGTTTTCCTCACAGTGGCCCCAGCGAATTGAGCTCTCCCGCTCCCCTCATGTGGCTCTGAGCCGGGAACAGGCAGGGGTCAAGGTCTGGGATCTCCCCGGCAGAGCAGCCTGGAAGCAAGACAAGAGAAAATAAGGAACTGCTACTATCAGCAGAGCCCTTCTGATAAAGGCTTTAATCAAAGATGGCAAGATGAGCGGCTGAGAGCCGAGGGGGGCAGAGGCAGGAACCACTGGCAAAAGACGGCCTGGAGGGTCTCTTGGGGGCATCTCTCTTTTCCTCGATGAGTTGGAAACTCAGACACGCCTTCTTGCCACATACCCACCCCACTCCAGCTCCAGCAGCCACAGAGGCTGACCGGGGGCTCCCTAACTTTTCATAATCTGAGGAATTTCCTCCATAACCTCTCCTTACGAGAACCTTTTTGCTGCCCGATCTCCTTCAGCCCTCATTAGCCTTTCAGACTGGCCCCAGAAAATACAAGGCTTCCTTCCTCTCTCAAAAGACCTTGACAGAGGCTTAGACACTCCATTCGTTCATTCACTCATCCATTCATTCACTCCTGGGAGACAGGCCCTCAGCCTGCTTGCTGTGGGCTCTTCTGGGGGAGACCTCTCATTGGGGACGACCACGGGGCCTCCTTTCCAGACACTTGCCAAGCACAGAGCCCAACACCTCTGCTCACAGAGGGGTCACCAGATGACCCCCAACACCTCAGCTGTGGCTTTGGTTCGGGCAGTTCGGGCCTGAGCCTGCAAAGGGCCTTTTTCCGTCGCTGTGTGTGGAAGGTGCGCTGCAGCCCAGCTCCAGGATTCTGAGTTCCGGTTCCGCCTCCCACTTCCAGTTTCATGCATGTGGCACAGTTCCCTTGAAATGCTCAAAGCAGCTTTCCCTCTATCGTTTATAAGTAAACAATGTGAGATCGCTTCTAAGTGAAATAATAGCAATTATGTTACCCGTTGTCAAGGTCCATTGTGTTCCCTGTTCGACAGTCTTGTGTGTCTTCGCAACCACCCTGTGAGGTAGGGATTGTTCTCAGAGGAGACAGGCTCCTGAAACATCTTGCCCACACCCGGTAGCTAATAAGTGACAGAGCTTCTTCCCCAGCTCCCTTCCCCCTTCTACCAGAGGGTGGGAGTGCTGTCCCTAGGGGCCGCCCAGTGCCTTGTGGTGGACAGGAGGGAGCCCTGCATCTGAAGGGCTCCGGGCCCCTCCACTGACCTCACCCCTCCATGACCGCAGCCTGGCCCAGTCACTGTGGGCCCTCTTCACCTCTTCTCTGGCCATCTCCCTGGTGTTCGCCATCATCCCCTTCTGCAGCAATGTGAAGGTGCTGGCCTCCGTCATGGCGCTGGCGGGCCTGGCCATGGGCTGCATCGACACCGTGGCCAACATGCAGCTGGTGAGGATCTACCAGAAGGACTCGGCCATCTTCCTCCAGGTGATCCCACAGCGGGCGTGGGGCTGCGTGGCGGGGAGGGCCCTGTGCATCTGTCCAGCGCTGCCGTCCCACACGCCCCGGGGCTCAGAGTCTTTCCCCCTAGGCCAGGGTGGTGACACAGAAAGAGCACCAGTGCCTCAGTTCAGCTAGGCCATCATCTCCGGACTTGGGTGTTCTCATCTCTAAAGTGGTGTGATGATTCCTGCCTGCAGGGTTGCCATGGGAATCCTAGGAGTAACCAGCAAGTTTTTTGTGCACTGGGAAGTGGTGTGATAGGAGGGCCTGCTCTTCTCCTCTGGTCTCCTTCCCTCTCTCTGTATTTCTTCTTCCTTCCTTGTCCTCGCAGTTACCCAGGACTCCGGTCCAGCCCTTCCCTGTATTAAGCCCTCATCCCTTTGGTGGTGCTAACATGGGAACAGCCTCCCATCGGGGGTTAAGATCTGGGAAAGGAAGAAGAGTGAGGAAGGAGATTGAGCACGGTCACCAAGTAATCCCAGGACGAGCAGGTGGCCGAGGGGAGCTCACTCCTCCCCTCTCCTGCCTCCCATCCCCTTGTTCCCCAGGTGGGACACAAAGTGGGGTATGGAGTGTGAAGCCTGAACCATCCCCCTACCCATCCCACTTCTCCCTCCCCAGGTTCTACATTTCTTTGTGGGCTTTGGGGCTCTGCTGAGTCCCCTTATCGCGGACCCCTTCCTGTCTGAGGCCAGCTGCTTGCCTGCCAATAGCACAGCCAACGCTACTTCCGGCAGCCACCTCTTCCATGCCTCCAGGGTCCTAGGCCAGCACCAGGCTGAGGCCCGGCCTTGGTCCAACCAGACGCTCCCTGGGCTGTCCCCTCAGGATGGGGCAGGAACCCACGTGTCCTACGCCTTCTGGATCATGGCCCTGATCAACGTGAGTGCCAGTGGGGCAGGGCTGGGCAGGGACTAGTAGACAGTCACACGTACCAGTCTATACCAGCTCCTAGTGCAGGTTCTGATTCTGAGAAATGGGCTGGGGCTGAGGTGTTCCCTCTGGAAGGCAAGAGAATGGGGGAACTGACCCCTTGGGATTCATCTGAACACAAAGGGGGTTGCAGAAGATCATCTCTAAGGTCCTTCGGTTGTGACATCCTGTAATTGCGATTCTCAAGGGAGGTAAAGCAGTGAATAGGTTTAACACAGTGAAATCAGGGTCAACGTTCTAGTCATCTGAGGCTCCAAGGGAAGCCCACCCTTTTCCTCTGCGGTCAGATGAAGCCAATCCTGGGCCAGGCCAGGCCAGGCCAGGCCAGGCCCCTCTCTGGGATATTTAATCGCTGGTGGGATTCGCCTGTGCCCTGCTGTGAGTGGGGCTCCCGTGGAAGCTGACAGATAGAGAAGAAGGCCTCTGAGGGACCCTGCAGGCGAGGGTAGCAGCGGACCTGCTGCCCTGTGGTCACCAATCATTTTCCTTTCTTCTTCGTAACTTTCCTTTCCCTGTACCAGGATCTTCCCTAGAGGTTTCAGAAACTCCCCGTTTCCCTCCGCTCCTTCTCCTTTCCGCCGTGCCCATTATTATTTTGGAAACAGCGCAGCTTTGCTCTCCAAGGGGGACCTGTGAAGGGAAGGAGCATTGTCAGTACAATATCGAGGCTGGGACTCTGGGACCAGGAAGCCGGATGGTCCAGCATAAGCCCGAGGTCTGTTTTCTTTTGCCCCACGAGGTGCAGACTGGAGGGACTTTGTTTGCTGCAGGATTTCCGGACCTTTCCCACCTGATTGTGTCGGAAGATAAACAGTCCACCACAGAAGAGCATGAGGCCGTGCAAGCTTATGGGCACATGCGTGCGCACACACACAGCTCACCTGGCACTCCCTGACTTTTAAGGTGGAGCCCGCCTCCTCTGATGGGCTTCTAAAGATGGAGTGTGCTCCTGTGGCAATGCCAGCCAATCCTCTGTGAAGTCTTTCCCAACGCCCACCTCCCTGGAAAGCCCCACCTGAGTGATCTTGCCCCTCTCACAGCTGTTTCCCCTTGGCCTTCACTTAGGCATTCTGCCACCACAGGCCTCTGCGTGTAGGTTTCCTGTTTCCCCCAACAGCCTGGAGAGAGGGCTTCGTCTCCCTCATCAGACCAGGGACTCCTGAGGGCAGGGGCTATGTCTCCCCGCATTCAGGCCCAATTTGTGCCTCTAACTCTACCAGGCAGAGTCTGACTTTGACTCATTTTTGAGTGTGGAGGGAGGCTCCCAAGGTGCCCGCAGGGGGCTGTCACCACAGGAGTGGTACTCAGATGAGACAGCCTGGCTCCAGGCTAAGGGAGCCCCTAGACAGGGACTGGCAGTCCGCTAACTTTCACCTCCACCTGCCTGCTTCTGCTGCGCCTGCCAGCCCAGAGGAGCCCATCGGCCTCTGGGAAACTTGCTCAGCTCCCAGAGCTTCCTCTCTTTCCTGAGCAGAAGGAACTGGATGAAGTTGCGGCAGCGAGGGCTAGACTGCATGAGGAGCTCCTGGCGGTGAGGGTGGTTCGACAGAGGCAGGGCACCCGAGAGAGGCTGTGGAGGCTTCTCTAGGCAACCTCGGACACAGGAGACACTTCTCATTGCTCTGGGGAGTTCATAAAACCTAAGCGGCTTAATGTAAATAGCAGTGAACTTAACTTTGGGCTTGTGCGTGTGTGTGTGTTGTGCTCAGCATGCAGTTTTTATTCCAAAGGAGCCCACAGCTCTGTTTTCCCAATTAGACACTAAGTCCCTAAGTCCCTGAGGACAGCCTCTACCTTCCTAGGGTGTAACATTGCCCAGACAACCCCTGAGGTGGAGACGGCACTGGGCAGAATCAGGATGCCCAGTGGTGGGCGGGGGGGTGGGGGGGGGTGCCTCATTGCCCCAGGTCAGCTGTGACCAGCAATAACTCTCACTGGGTCTCTAGCCTACTACTTAGGTCTCTTGTAACAGGTTCTGACTAAGTGATAACTTTAAAACTCATTTGCCCCATCTGGAAAATGGGGATAATAATTCCCCCCAGCAAGTTTTATAGAGCTGGGATGAACGAAAGCAAAACTTCTTTGTAAAGCAACACGTGATCTACCAGCATAACGGAGTGTGTGGGGGCTGCTCCAGCACAGTTCAGGGTAAAGATGTTGGAAATGAGTTTATCTCTGGCACTTCTGTGCCAACAGAAGCCCAGCATGAGTCCAAGCTTTGCATGCGACAAGGAAAATGGATGTGGTTTAGGGTGGGCAGCAATTACATGCAGCCTGCCCTGGGTCAAGGCTGCAATAGCTGGGGACACCTCTTAGGTGGGCACCCTTGGAAAAGAGCTGTCTTTTCCCAGGACTGTGCAGACACGTGTCGTTCGACCTTGCAGGCGTATGGCGTAGGGCAAGCGTGGGAAGGGGGAGCCCAACGGGAACTGGGCTCTCCTGACCCTCTGCCCACCCCCAGCTCCCAGTGCCCATGGCTGTGCTGTATCTGCTGTCCAAAGAGCGGCTGCTGACCTGCTGCCCTCAGAGGAGGCCCCTGCTCCTGTCTGCAGATGAGCTCGCCCTGGAGACACAGCCTCCTGAAAAGGAAGACGCTTCCTCGCTGCCCACAAAGAGCCAGCCATACCCAGGTGGGGGCTCTAATGAACTTTCATACTCACAGCCCCACACTGAGGCTCCCCTGGTAACCTCTCCCCCAGAGGGTGACCGTAGATCACAGGTGATAATGGTTAGAAAAGAACCTTGGCACTGATGGCCTCGTGAGGCAGGAGTTGGAGTAACCTGGCCAAGAGAATGAGGAAGGCAGACTTCGGGCTCCAATCTCCATTCTGCCTAACCCTGGCTGTGTGACCTTGGGCAAATTACTTACCTCTCTGAGCCTTGCCTCCATCAGGACTGTGAGATGGACAGGGGCTGTTCCTAACAGATGGCTGAGGCTAGAGAAAGTAGGAGGCGGTGAGTGGTCCCCCATTCTGCCAGGGTTCCTCTGACTGCCAGCCACTTTCCCTGGGCACGCAGAGGCGGGGAGCAGAAACTGAGACTCACCCTTGGTCTTGTACCTCATCCAGCACATGAGGACCTGTTCAGCTGCTGCCAGAGAAAGAACTTCAGGGGAGCCCCTTATTCCTTCTTCGCCATCCACATCACAGCTGCCCTGGTCCTGTTCATGACCGATGGGATGACGGTGAGCTTGCCCTCAAAGTGCACCTTCTTGGGGGACCCTCCACCCCAAGACTCAAGTCTGGGAATGGCAAGAGAAAGAGAGGGGCATCAGGGTTTCTCCAGTACGGTCGATCCCCAGATTTAAACTAAAGTCCAGGGAGAGACTGTCTCCAGAATCATTCACAGCCCCAGTTGTTTATATTTTTGTTAACTCTGTGGATAGGGGCCTATAGGTTTGTTACTGAGTGCAGGCTACCCACATTTTTTTTAAAGGGGCAGAGCCCTATTCCCCCAAATAAAGGTCATGCCAAATAAACTCTAGGGCACTCTGCTTCCTGGAATACATTCCACACCTGGGCTTCTCAAGCCATGTCATAAACAAGCTACAGGCAGGATCTGGGCCCAGCTATTCAGTCTACTAGTGACCTCTGTTAAACTATTTAATGCCTTTTTCCAGGATTAGATTAGGACAGTTTTGAATGGCTGATTAACTGACCGCCATGTGAGGAACTCTCCAAAGAGGAGGCGCTAAAAACTTTGATGACCTGGTGGAAAGTACTCATGACAATACTGGTTGACTTCCAACTCTCAATGTGACCTTGAGCAAGTCACTTCTCTCTACCCTCTCGTCTATAAAATGAAATGCTTGTGCATACTTTTTCTGTTTTTTAATTTTTTAGCTGCAAACTTCCTTCAACAAAAAATTTTCTGTGGAATCCTCATAAATAAGACATGTAGTGGAACCCTGCTCTGGTGAAGGGGGCCGCAGTACTTGCCGTGGGCTCCCTGTGGAGAGACGGCCCCCCGGGGCCTCTAGGCCTCCCAGGTGCAGTCTGGGAACTGTGGCACCCGAGGTTCTGTCCTTGGCTTGGGCCTGTGTGTGTGTATGATCTTGGCCCCAAGCCCGCCCTTCGTCAAGCCTCTGGGAGCAGGACCAGTCCTCCCTCGCCTACACCACGCCTGCCTAGCTGGGGCTTCCTTTCCCAGGGTTGTGGTCTGGCTGCATTTCAGGTGTGCTCAGTGGGGCCTGTCTCTCCACAGGGGGCATATTCCACCTTTGTGTACAGCTATGCAGTGGAAAAGCCATTGTCTATGGGACATAAGGTGGCCGGTTACCTCCCTAGCCTCTTCTGGGGCTTCATCACCCTGGGTCAGCTTGTCTCCATTCCCATCTCCTCCAAAGTGAAGCCAGCTACCATGGTTTTCATCAATGTGGTAAGTGGCCTCCTTTTACTTCTTGGAGACCCAGGAGAACCGTTCACTACTGGCCCTCGCACTGCCCCAGGACTTTTGCTCAGGTCTCTTGCTCAGGACTCTGCCAACAGGGTGGGACTGTAGGAGCAGAGGGAGGAAAGGAGTGGATAGGAGAGAGATGCTGGTGGGGAAGGGATGGGAATCCAGGAAGTGGAGCCTACCCTTGTGATCTTCGAAGAGTCCCTTTCTCTCTTTGGGCCTCTGATTTTGTACCTGTGAAAGGAAGGGGCTGTAGAAGGTGATTCCTGCCGGGCGTGGGGAGCAGATCCCAGCTGATAACCTTCCAAGAGTGCCGAGGAAGCAGGTGCTGGCCTTGGCCTCCTGTGTTCGCCTTGGCGCCGGCTGGTCAGGGCCTTGTGGCCAGTGGAGGCCAGGGATTCCTGGCCTTCAGAATCACCCTCTCTGGGCTGGAGCCTGGGAATTTGCATTTTGAAACTATCCGAGGTGATTCTCATGTAGCATGTGGGCTGCCTTCAAGGAACTGATCTGCCCAGGAGGCAGGAGGTCTGGGGCTGAGAGATAGGTTAAGACTTGAGGTGTGTCCACATTACCATCTATGACGAAAGGGTCCAGATTAGATACCAGAAAGGTTATCCAGCCCAACCTCCCACCAGGGCTTCAATCACCTCTGTAACATCCCTTTATAGAGGAGGGGTACACAATCTGTTTAAACACCTCCGGTGACTAGAAACTCACCGCCTTTCCAAGTAGCCCAATCTGTTGTCAGAAAGTCCTTCTTTGGGTTGAGTTTTAGCAAAGAGGGGGTTGGTAAATAATATTGAGGCTACACAGACCAAAAATCATGAGCCCCAAGAAAGGCCCTTGGATTTGGCCTTGTATTAGTTTATGACCTTCAAAAAAGAAATATCTATTCAAGGTCAATGGAAGGGCGGGTGGGTAGAAGCCAATCTCAAGAGGCTGAGAGTGAGCGGGAGGTGGGAAGTGGAGGTGGGAGTACTGCAAATATTTCTGAGTTGAAGAGAGTTTTGTTTGTCAGGAGTCGGGGGGCATGAGCCTGTTTGCAGGCAGAGGAGGAAAGGCTCATGCCTGTAAGGAGGGGTCTGCAAAGATACCGCTGTCTGAGAGGATCTGAGTGAGGGCCCTGGGAGAGGGGTGAAGGGATGAAGAACAGCCAGAAAGCAGATGCGAAGCTCAGGGAGGAGTGAGGCCCTGGTTCCATGGAGCTTGGGGCAGGGAAGGAGAAGGTGGGGAACAGTGTGGGTACAGCCACTGCTGGTGGCCAGCTCCTGCAGGACAGAGGCCAGCTGCTTAGAGAGAGGAGAGTGGGATGGGAATTCGGATTTGAGAAAAGGAAGTCTGAAGCATCCACAGGAGTTAGGCACTGATGGTAACAACTCCCCTGGAGTGATGGATTCTACAAAGGAAAATGAGATTCCCAGGGCCCAGACTTCATGAATCCGAATGTGGTGGTGGGGGGGGGGTGGATAGCAATCTCCATATTTAACAAACACCCCAGGGACTCATGTCATCAAACAGGTTTGGGAAAACACTGTCCTGGAGCAAGGGATTCCCAAATTCATCAGACCCACGGGAGGTGCTCTTGGAAAATACAGGTTCCGGGCCCCTGCCCCAGAGATTCTGACTCGCATGTGGAGAGGAACCTGGGCATCTGGATTGTTTTTAAAGCAGTTCAGGTGCTTTGGGTGGGCACCCTGTTGGGCCTACAGCTGAGCAAGTACACGATGCTGCAGCTGCCACATGACTGTCTCATATTCACTGTAGTCACCTCCCAGTATTCCTCTCATTTTTAAATGAACTGTCACCCAGCTCTCGGGCTTCTCCTGCGCCTCAGCAACCACTAACGAGCTATCCTGCAGGGAACTGCAGAAGTGCCAAGTTCTGTAGGAAGAGGTCTCTGCCTTGAGGGAGCTTACAGTGGGCTCGGGGAGAGGAGAGTGTGCTGGCGGGAAGGTCAGGATGATGGGAGCCGCGAGCAGGTGGGAGGTAGGCTGGGAGCCAAGGGTATGTCTACACCATGTACACCGGCTACACCATCTGTCTACACCACCACTACTGGGTGAGGAGGGGCCACACCCACCGAGTGGGAGGAGAGTTGCAGTTGGGCATACTCAGTCTCTGTCACCCAGGCTAAAATTAGAGAGTTAGAAGTTTTAAAACTTCCTTAAGTCTGGAGATTTTTGGAGTGTGTCTTTAAGGCTTGTCTGGAAATATGTGTGGTTTGCAAGTGGGGCAGCAGATGGCAAGAGGGTAGCCGAAGTAGCATCTTTAGAGAACCGGTTCTGCCCCAGGCCTAAGTTGAGAGCTGACTATCAAGGAGGCACCAGCCTCTTGAAGAGCACTGGGGTGAGTGATCCTGGCAGAAGGCACTGTTGGCTGAAAGATCCTAAGGTGGGAATGAACTTGGCCAGGGGGCATGGTGGGGAGGGCTGGAGTAGGGAGCAGAAGGATTTTATTCAAAGGAGGAGGAAGCCCTTTAGAAGGTTTTAAGCAGGAAAGGACATGATCTGCTTTGCATTTTAAAAGCACACTCCAGCTGTTCTGTGGAAGGATGGATTGTAGAGGCCAGTCATGCAGGGAGACAGCGAGATGCCACTGTTGCAGTCCAGGCATGAGAGGTGGCGGCTAGATGAGGGTGGTCAGGATGGACTTGGAGATACAAAGATTCTAAAAACAGTTTTTGAGGTAGAGTTGACAGGACTTGCTATTGGCCGCAATGCAGGAGGTGAGAGAACAAGGAATTATAGACTCTACCTTAGCCACAAGGCCTGAGCTGGGAGGGGATGGGACACTGGTAACTGATGTAGGAGGAGGTCAGGAAAAGTTCCCTTTGGGCCGCATGGTTAGTTGTCCAGTGTTAGTTGACATATCAAAGGGGCAGTTGTATACGCAAGTCTGGAGTTCGGAACACAGGTGATGGCTGGAGGGATAGATTTAAGAGTCCCGGCATAGAGATATTTGAAACTGTGGAGCTGGACTAATGGGAAATGCAGACGAAGAAGCACCAGGACGGTCCTGGGCCATGTCAACGTTTAGAAATGGAGCTGAGAAGGAAGAAGGAGCAGATGGAGCTGTGGGACCATTTTCTACACCAAAGAAATACGTTTTATTTGCAACCATAGATAGGTCCATTGCTTTTGTATTTTTACTGCATGAAAGAAAGCTTTCGTGTCACCTCTCCATTGTGAAGAGAATATGTTTCCTTCAGCCGTTGTTGGTGGCAAATCCCTCTCCATGGCGGCAAGTGTTTCTCAGTAAGGACTCTGAGCCTCCATGTGAGATTCTGGCACTTCAGGCCCAGGGGCTGGTGACAAGAGAGTAAAGGGCGAGGGACTCAAGGGCTGCAGCCACTGGCTTTGTTTTTCCAATGGGAGCGGATCCTCCAGGTGTGCCTGTGCGTGTGGGAGCCCCTTCCTGTGCGTGTCGAGCCCCTTCCCCCTCACGCTCAGGTCCTCGTCTGCCGAGCAGACGGGACTGGGATTCGGTTACTGGGTTTCTTCCATACTTTCCAGCTCTCTGTAACTTTATCTTGTTTTTTCTAGAAACAGATGTACTCACCCAGGAGGTTTTTACCTGAAAGCTATGGGTTTCCGTAGAAGGCCCTTATCTCCTGAGACATTAAGAAAAGCTCACCCACAAATACTAGGACTGACGTTTTTCTATAGCTTCACACGTGAAAAGCCCCTTCGTTGCTGTCGCCTCCCCACCTCTCTTCAGGGGATCTTTGGTGACCACTTCGCAGATTAGGAAGCTAAGAATCAGATCAGCTGCTTCGAGGTGCCAGAAATGGTCAAAAACGGAGCTGGTACTTACACCTGGGTCTTCTGCCTCCACAACCGTGCTGCCTGGGTTTCTTCCCAGAAGCTTTTTGCATAGAAATTAGTCAATATCAACAAATATATTTTAAAGCATGTAGAAAAAGGGGTTTTTTCACAAAATACTGAACTAGAAAGATTTCTGGTCCCTTCACCCATCACAGGAGTCTCCTACCATGGGTTACAATCTGCCTGTGGAATCTGAGTGGAATGGGGGAGGGGGTGAATGTCACGCTGGCCTGCCACAGCCACTGACCCTCTCCTGGGAGGCCTGCCTGGATCCTCAGAGCCTGGGACCCTGCAGCCCCCACCCCAGCAGCTCCACTTCACAACGATGAAGGACGCTGACCTCTGAGCCGGCAGGGCAGAGAGCTGACGACGATGGCACTCTCCGTGCTTATACGGAAAACCTTGGGGACAGGAAATGTTCCCTCACTAAGCACTTCTTAAGCGGGTATGGTAGGCTATTTGCGTAGGTGGCTGGGTGGGCTCACCCAGCCATCTTATATTCTCAGAGCTTGGTTGGCCAACACCAGACTGGGGAAGGTGCAGTCCCCGCATACTCCACAGGGTGGCACACTGGTCACAGGGCTGCTCCTGGGGCCTCCTGTCCACGTCCGTCCGGAGGCTGATTGACTCCTGGTTTTTGCTTTCTCAATGGACACCTGGCTTTTCTCAACTTCTGATCACCTCCATCACTGCTATGACAGGTCGGCGTGGTGGTAACATACCTGGTGCTTCTTGCTTTCTCCTACAATGTCATCTTCCTGTTCGTGGGGACAGCCAGTCTGGGCCTGTTCCTCAGTAGCACCTTCCCCAGCATGCTCGCCTACACAGAGGACATTCTGCAGTACAAAGGTGAGTGTGCAGGAGCTGAGAGCAAAGGCGCTCAGCCCCCTGGCTGGGTGCCACTTCCTTCCCAGGCCCCATCTTTCTGGGATATTCCAGGTGGAAGATCACTGCCCTACCTCCTCGCAGAAACCATGCTCCCCTGACTGGTGGGAACGAGATCACAGATGGGGTTGCTCTGACCCATGTGGCCCCCCACTTCAACATTACACCTGTACCATTTGATTTCAGGCCACAGGAAGCTTACTGCTTTTTTTTTCTCTTCGTTTCCATAGTAGTGTCTGCTGACCCACAGCTGGCATTTTGTGTAACAGGCATGGAAATTCCAAGTTCAGAGAAAAACAGAATTGCATGGGGGAAGTTATGACTTAAAAAAGGGGTTTTGTACCTTATCGGTAATAGTACCTTTTCTTGCTTTGTTGTTCTTGTGGATGTTATTCTAAACATAGAGGATTAGAATGAAGACTCCGACCCGATTTGGGGCTGAGACACAGCTTTTTTGATGTCAGAAACCTCTAATTCTCTTGACTAATCTTTCCTTTGTATAGCCTCCCAAATGTGTGTAGCAAAGATCTTTTTTTTTTTAATGAGTTAATTAAAAATAATTATGTTTTCAACAGTTAACATTACCATCAGAAGTAACTAGAGATGCCCAAAAGTGTTGGAAACCCAGCATTAAAGATGAGTGATTGCTTTAGAGGAGGAGAAAGGGAAATTGGTGTATGGGGGGAGGGGAGTAGTCAGAGCAATTAGAGTGACACCCGCCTCAGTCCTCCACAGTAATGAGAGACAGGAGACCTGGATCCCTGAAATCTAAGGATACTCCCCAAACCCCAAGCAAGTAAATGAAGTTAAGAAATAGTGTCGCCATCGTATGTCACACACTGTATCCCAGAGTTTTAAGTGATCAACAAAGGGTAGAGTTTAACAGTAATAATAAGTTAGACTGGTTGATTCTGCTGCCAAATGGTCACTAAGATCCGTTCTCTTCATTTCCCCCGACGCTGCCTCGGTTTGGGCATTAGTCCTCACTTCCCAGCTTAGGGAATTTAACCGAGCCTAGCAACCCCCGTCGCTGCCTTGGCAGGTCTTGGCTTGTCTCCTTGCCTTCAGATCTGCCTCCATCAGAGGTTCTCAGTGCTGTTCACATTAGAATCACCTGGAGGACGTGTAACCAAACCCAGTGCCGGGGCTTCGTCTCCACAAAGTCTGATGTAATTGATGTGAAGTTGCTAAGTGAGTCTAACGTGGAGCCAGGGTGAGGACCAACTCCTGAGCCGGCCTTGGAGCTGCTGCAGTGGGACTGATTTAACACAGAGCTGATCCGGCCCTTCATATCTTTCCGTGGGGCTCTTTTCCTTTCTCCAGCCTTCTCTTGCCCTGCTTCCCCTCAGAGCTGGCACTCTAGCCGGCTACTCCTTGACGGCATACAAACTGTCCCATCCCTCCACACTTGGGCATATGGTGAACCCTCTGCCGGGAATGCCCTCTCCTTCGTCCCTCCTCCTTCGTCCCTACGGGAAGCTTCTCTGATGCCCACTGGAAAGGCGTCCCCTCCTTTGTACCTGCCTCTCGTCTTTGACCACCCTCAAGGCTTTGTACCTATGTATCTGCGTTTTCTCCTCACAACACGCTCCCTGTGGGAACCAGCAAGGGACAAGGGCAAGAGCGAGGGCCCTGAGGTCATCGGCAGACCTGATACTAGTCCTGCCTCCACACTCTCTGGCTTTGTGACCTTGTGTACTTCAATTTCCTTCCCCTCGCTGAGTCTCAGTTTGCTCATCTGCGAAACGAGCAAACTTACCTTTGAGGATTATCTTGTGCATTAGAGAAAATGTAAAGCTCTTGACTTAGCAGCTTCACTAGCTCACAGGTACTCAATAGATATGTTAACTAAAGCACAGTACCTGATGCACAGAAGGTACTGGAAGGTTTTTGAATGAATGAGTGGATAGACAGTGGGAGCCGCTGGAATTTAGAGAAGGGAATGACCAGTGTTGAACCTACAGCTAGCTTCGTGGAGGAGACATGGTGTGAGCTGACTCAGAATTTGGAAAGGCAGAAGAAAAAAGGAAAGGCATTCCGGGGAAGGGCGAGGTGGGGGCAGGACCGGTGTGAGAACAGAAGTGCAGAGCTAGGTATCAACGTAAACATAAGTGAGACTAAAAGGGGAACTTGAAGCCCAGAGTAGAAAATGATCTTTGTTTTATTCAAAAAACACTCAGTGTCTAGCATATGTTGGCCACCGTAATAAACAGCGGTCTATGCCCTGAACTAAAATTCAAAGCACGGTCCTCTCTCAGGCTCTTACGGCTTAGTGGGGAAGACCACCCGGTAAACAGACAGTGGGATACATGAGAAGGGTGCAGGGGGCTGATGGAGCACGGAGGAGGAGTAACTAATCCAGGTTTAGGGCCAGGGGTGGGGACAGAGGAGTACAGAAGGAAATCGAAAGGACTGACGAGATGCACAGGAGCCTGTCTCAGAGGAGGAGGAATGTTTAGGAGAGTCCGCCTGTGTCCGGTTCTGGTGGTGAGAGTCCGTGGTGGGGAACTTGAAGGTGGCTTCTCCTGGCTGGAGGATAGACTGCGAGCAGGCAGTGCGTGAGATGAGCCTGAGCTCTCAACAGGGACAGATTACAAAGGGCCCTGGAAACCACATGAAAGCTCCTGGACTTTATCCTGAAGGCAGCATTGAGGGTTTGAGCAGAGTACGGGCCTGGTGTCGAGGGTTTACTATGCTGCAGCACCATGCTGAGCGCTTACACGCATCGCTTACACGCATCGCGTCAGAGCGATCCACATAGCAACCCTGAGAGAGACGGGTTGTGATGCCCACTTTACACAAAAAAACCCAAGGCCCACAGGAGGGAACTTCTTTAGGCCACATGCTGGGAGGTGACACAGCTGGGCTTGGAACCCAAGTCTGACTCTGAAGCTTGGGCTCTGAGGGTCTGTGTCATGTTGCCAGACTGACGAGAGGCATAGCTGGTCAGCGCAGTGCCAGGGCGGTGAGGACATGGCTCTGCCCAGAGCAGAGGGCTGGCCTGAGGAGATCAGGAAATCTTTCTGGAAAGGCAGGTGGTGGTCAGCTTGGGAAGGGCCCTGAATGCCAGGCTCAGCAACTCGGAATTTACCAGGAAGACACTCATGAGCACCCGAAAGTGTCAGAACAAGGAAGGAATGTAGGGCCAGCGGGACCTGAGCACTCCACAGCAAAGTTAAGAGCTAGGGCTGAGAAATCTCAGGAAGCCCCAGCAGCCCTCTCAGGCAGCTAGGCCATTTTCCAGGCTTCCTACAGACAACCCAGATTATGCCCGATGACTTGTGTCTCTTCAACTCACTCTTACTAAACCAAATCCTTCTCTTATGCATAGGCTGTGCGACCACAGTGCTGGTGACAGGGGCAAGCATTGGAGAGATGTCCCTCCAGATGCTGGTCGGCTGGGTATGTGAGAAACTTGGGGCGGGAGCGGGGGAGGGGATCATCTGGTGTGATTGGAGTTTTAAGGAAGATAGGGAGGTTTTTCGGGTTCTAGTAGGGGAGCGCTCCTCCAAGCAGGTAGGAAGCTGGGGCCGGCCACCTTCTGAACCCAAGGAAGCAGGGCCCCATTCCGTGTTACCTGTTTCCGTTTCTGAGCCAGGCTTCAAGGCTGAGCCTCTGAATGAGAGACCTGGAGCTGGGAAGGGATGCAATAGTCCAAAGCAAACACAAGTCATGTCTGGGAGCAGGGCCAGAGGGGCCTCGTGGGAATGTTGTTTAGCTCCCGAGCCTGGGATGGGTATGAGCTGCAGAGTTCTTTTTCCATCCCTTTTCAACCTGCCACTTCCTCACCCCACCTCTTGTAGCCTTTGGCCACCCTGCAAAGGGCCTGGCTTTCCTGCCCAACTCCTGCCCTGATCACAGGCTGACTCTCCCAGTTTTTGTTAAATATACCTATGGTTCTTGCTCACCAGGGGAAACTAATACATCTCCTTTTTACTGAAGATGATCATGTAGATATTGTCATTCCCCTCTTTACAGAGAAGGACGCTGAAAGTCAGATAAACTAAGTGGCTTGCCCTCAGTCGGTCACACTTCTAATAAATGACAGGGATGATGTTCAGAACTAGGTCTTTCAGCCTCAAAATCTCACTGCTCACAGCTTTTGCCCTGTGGGGTGGGGAAAGAGCTACATCTTATAACATCCTCTGCATCTAAAAGATGTGAGGGCTGGGATGTGCTTCAGAATAATCTAGTGGAGGGCTATGGAAGAAACTGGTGCTAACTGCTAAAGTTAGTGATAGGTCCATGGGAGTTGCATGTGCTACATTGGCATATATTTAAAATTTTCCATAATAAAAGGCTAAAATATATATGTACATGTGTGTATGTGTATGTGTATGTGTATGTATCGGTGGGCGGGGAGAGGTTGAGAGTAGTAGCAATGGACTAGCTGAAAAAATTAAATGTAACCAATGTCTCAGAAGCTAATCTTGAGGGCAAAACTAGACTTCATATTACATTATGAAGACTTCT